TGAACATAGTTGAGAAAATGTCCATGGGGTATGAGTGTTCATACCTTGGGTATGTCCCCAAAAGTGGTATGGCCTGGTCTTGAGGTAGATTGATTCCTAATTTTTTGAGAATTCATCATACTGATTTCCAAAGTGGCTGTACAAGTTTGCAATCCCATCAACAATGAAGGAGTATTCCCTTACTCCATACCCTTTCCAGCAAAAGATTTCATTAATATTTTTGATCTTAGCCATTCTGAGAGGTATAACATAGTATCTCAGAATCATTTTGATTTGCATTTCCCTGATGGCTGGAGGATGATGAACAATTCCTTAAGTGCCTTTTGGCCATTTGTGATTCTGTGGGAATTCTGTTTAGCTCTGTGCCCATTTTTTAATTTGATTATTTGATATTTTGATATCTAGTTTCTTGAGTTCTTTGTCTATTTTGGAGGTCAACCTTCTGTCAGATGTAGGGTTAGTGAATATCTTTTCCTATTCTATAGGCTGCTGTGTTGTATTGTTGACTGTGTCTTTTGCCTTCTTTATCCCTTTTTATTAATTTTAGTTTGAAGTCTATTTTGTTAGCAATTAGGATTGCTACAACAGCTTAACTTTTGATCTGTCTGATTGGAAATCTTTTCCCAAACCTTTACTCTGAGGTAATGTCTGTCTTTGAAGTTGAGGTGTGTGTCTTGTACACAGCAGAAGGATGAATTCCATTTTCATGTCCATTCTGTTAGCCTGTGTCATTTTATAGGCTAATTGATACTGTTGATATTAAGAGATAATAATGGCCAGTGATTGTTAGTTCCTGTTATTTTTGTATTTGTTGTTGGTGGTGGTATTATGTGTGTGTCTCTCTTCTATGTGTTTTGCTATTATGGGATTATCCATTGCCTGTGTTTTTGTTGAGTTCTTTGTGTTGGATTTTTCCTTCTAGTACATTCTGTAGGGCTGGATTTGTAGATAGGTATTGTTCAAATTTGGCTTTGCTATGAAATATCTTGTTTTCTCCATTTATGTTCATTGAAACTTTGCTGGATATAATAGTCTGGGTTGGCATCCAGGGTCTCTTAGTACCTGCAGAACATCTATCTAGGACTTTCTGGCTTTTAGAGTTTGCATTGAGAAGCCAGGTATAATTCTGTTAGGTCTGACTTTATATGTTACTTGGCCTTTTTTCCTTTGCAGCTTAGTATTCTTTCTTTACTTGGTATGTTTAGTGTTTAATTATATGTCAAGGATGTCAAGGGGAGGTTTTTTTTTTTTTTTTTTTTTTTTTTTTGTCTAGTCTATTTGGCATTCTGTAAGCTTCTTGTACCTTCATGTGCATATCCTTTTTCAGTTGGGAAAGTTTTTGTCTATGATTTGTTGAGTATATTTTCTGTGACTTTGAGCTGGTCTTCTTCTTCTGTACCTTTTATACTTAGGTTTGACTTTTCAAGGTGTTCCAGATTGCCTGAATGTTCTATGTTAAGAATTTGTTGCATTTAATAACATTTTATGTGACCAATGAATCTATTTCCTTTATTCTATCTTCAACAGCTGAGATTCTTCTGTCTCTTGCATTCTGTTGCTTATGCTTGTATCTGTAGTTCATGTTAATTCGCCCACATTTTTCATTTCCAGAATTCCCTCAGTTTGTGTTTTATTTATTACTTCTATTTCAAATTTCAAGTCTTCGCCTTGTTTGATTATTTCTTACTGGTTTACTTGGCTTTCTTTAGGAGTTTGCGAGTTTTTAATAATTTTTTTATTTACCCTTTTCTTCACTTCTTCAAGTGAATTTATTTCCTCTTTAAGGACCACTATCATCCTCGTAAAGTTATTTTAAGATGATTTTCTTCTGCTTCATCTGTGTTGGAGTGTTCAGGTCTTGCTGATGTAGATCTATAGTTTCTGGTGCTGCCATAACGCTCTTTTTGTTTTTGAATGTATTCTTACATTGCTGTCTGCCCATTTCTTCCTCTAGTGGGAGCAGATGAGATCTGTGCTTTAGGAGGCTCCTCTTCCTGCAATTGGTATAGGTGGGGCCTGTGACTTAGGTGGTAACTTTTCTTCCAGGTGGAGGTAGGTCCATGCCTCTGGTGGACACTGATATGGCCCTGGAGATTCTCCAGCTGTAGGTGGTCTGAAGGCTCTGGTGGTTGTAGGTACCATGGGGATAGTTAGGGGTGTGGGGAAGATGTACCCAGGTCTCTAGGGCTTTGCTGCTTGGTGGTGGCATACGGTATGTTCCTTTGGGGTTAGGGCCTAAATGACAGGGTCTTCTAGGCAGGGACCCAGACACTCACCTCTCCAGGTGCGTTCAGAGCCAAGGCTCCAGTGGTCCTCTATTGTGTTCTTATACTGGCTTTAACCATCTGGGTTTGGGGTTATTATCAGCTTAGGTGGTTATTTCTGAGTTTATTCTTGTTGGATAGATGCTTTATGGATGATTTTCCCCTCTTGTTTTCTATATCCTTTCTGGTTTTCTGATCTGAGTGGCCTAGGGCTCTGGTAATCAGTAAGGCTTCAGGTAGTGTGTTTTTGCTGAGGTAGCTGACTTGGCCTCCAGGGTTTTGGGTACTTACTAACCTTCAGAGGTTCTGGGGTTCTGGGATATGGTCTCTAGGGTTCTGAATTCTAGTGTGGTCTCTTGTATCTAGGTATCTGGAATTCCTAGGGTTCTTAATATTAATGTGGCATCCAGTAAAGTGTGTATCTTCTGGGGTTTCTAACATCTGTGTGGCCTTCAGTAGAGCAGGAGTCTTCTTTTAGGTGTTGTGGACCAGGGTATGGAGTCCATGGGAGGAAACACTATTGGTGACTGCTGGGCAGGGCTAAAGGATTACTAGTGGGTGGTGGGCAGTGTCTTTTTAAAAAATATTTTTTTATTTAAATTACAAACAATATTATTTTACATACCAATCCCAGTTCCCTCTCCTTGCCTTCTTCCCAGTCCCCCACCATTCCCCCCATTACACTCCCAATCTACTCCTCAGGAAGGGTAAGGCCTCACATGGGGGATCATCAAAGTCTGTCACCTCATTTAGAGCAGGACCTAGGCCCTTCCCTGTGTAGTGTATCTAGGCCGAGAGAGTATCCATCCATAGGGAATGGGCTCCCAAAGCCAATTTGTGCACTTGGATAAATGTTCATCAATTAGTTAATCTGGGGCTGAGTTCACCAGAATCAGAGATGTCCAGACACAGGAATTCTAGATACTGAGGAAGTCAAACACACGCACCCTCCTCCCCTAACACAGATAAAAAGGAAGGGAAATTTTACACCACATCTCCACTTTAGTTCCAGTAATCTCCTTCTCCAGTCCACGGCATCTTCTATCAGCAGCTGTGATAATCAAAACACCATAAAGACCAGGTCTAAAGAGGATCCCTTAACTAAGCTTGGGGTAGGTCCTTACACCTTTGGGTGAGATTCCATCCACTCCCTGCTGAACCTCCCTTCCAGATACATGTAACTTTGTACAATCCACCTATAGTCTTATTTTGGATAAGCTAATTAAAGAAAATTCCACCTATATACCTGTGAGGAAGTTGTCATACATGCACAGGTGAATCTTTTATGTGGTGTGGCATCTTACCTGTCAGTTATTCCCCTGTAAGGAATCCTTTACCCTTGAGCATTACATAATCAAATTACTATTTGGTTCACCTAGTTGCTATTAAGTAGGACTATACTTCCTTCTGTTGTATGTGCTAGTCAGGTGTGAAACGTTGTTTGTCAATTCAAATATTACAACTTATCATGGCTCAGGAACACCCTGCATTTTTCCTGTCCAAGAAGCTCTGTGTGGGGCAGCTAAAAGGTACAACAGATACTCTATGTGTGACTTCCATGATGCGGACCCATCTTTCACCCTGACTCAATGTTCATCCTGAGCTATGGCTATTTCCTCCGATGTCATCTCTTCCATTCCCTCCTCAGGGCACACAAATCCACTATGGCTGACACCCAATGGCTGGTGTACAAAAGGGCCAGGTGCCATATGGATTCATTTTTCAGGTACACACTTCATGGTCATAGTAGCCTGGCCTTCAGAAGCCTCATGCAGCGCTGACCTGGATTATTACAGTAAGGCCACCTGTTTTCCTGGATTTGGGAAGACAGCAGAAAGGATTTCCGTAGTTTGTATGAAAATACCTTTCCCCAAGAAAAGGCATGTGATGTGCAAAAGAAGGAGATTGTTAGAACTAAAGTGGAGGCATGAGATAAAATTTCTGTTCCTTTGTGTCTGGGCTTGGGTAGGAGGATGTGTGTATTTGACTTCCTTCATATCTGGAATTCCAGTGTCTGGACATCTCTGATTCTGGTGACCTCAGCACCACATTAACTAACTGATAAAGATTGTGAAGGTCTTGCCTACAGGCTCTGCTTTCCCCTTTTACAGAGCCCGTAATACCTCTTCCATGGTCCACTCAACAAGTTTGTGATACAAATTTATGCACCAGAACTGGAGGTATGTACCAAGACCCCATTTGCTTGCATTCCCTCACTTTCTAACAGACATCTGCTTGCCTGTGACTCTGATAAGCCTTTCCTCCCCTCCCCTCACTAGCCATAATGCATGCTCCTATCCTGTCCCCTTTTCTAGATGCTCTAGCTGCCAAAGATGAGATCTTGACTCAGTGTGCCATGACATTTCACTGATGTAGGGACCCATGAATGCTGATGACCACAGTCAGGTCTGTGTGCCTTCTTGTACCAGAGTAAAACAAAACTAGGTGCCATTTGATCACACATGACATATACAGAAGAGCATATCTATCACCTTTACTGAAAACTGAGGCATTAGAGGGGTGTGCATGTGGGGCTCTTTCTTGTCACCTGGTAAGGGAAGTAGTCCCAGTAGACTCTGTGGTACTTTTCTATGCATTAAGTTTCTTTGCACAACTCACAGGAATCTATTTAAAAATAGAGATGGTTGTGTCAGAGGGATATTTGTGTGGTCACTGTCTTACAAGAAAATCATGAATGGAAGGGAAATAAGGTAAGCAAAATATTAATCTCATTACCATCACATCTAGGGTGGATGATGCCTGTTGTGTTCAGGCCCAGTAATAGCACAACTTTTTCAAAATCCAACAGCATTTGTTGATTTGGAGCCATGTTGCGACCTGCAGACCACACAGATAAGGAACAAGAGGATGGAAAAGACTCTTTCTATAGACAGTTAACCCATATATCTTTCAGGTATTTGTGGGGAGGGGGACCTGAGAGATTTCAAGCCATAGAAAGAACATCTCTAGCTGAAGATTCCTGAGCAGGAGGGGGACCAGGTAGGAGCAGTGCAAAAGGACAGCAGGAGGTGTTTCTGTCTAGAGTCTCCATGTCTAGGCTGAGAGATTCCTAGGTCATTGTTGGAATGTCTTGTGTGCAGAAAATACTGGCTGAAGACTGTGAGTGGTCAGGCTGACTTAGAGAATGGGCAGAAGCACGGGCAAACTGATGTTCAGGAGGATCATGAGTGCAGAGAATACACCAGAGGCTAGAAATGTGCTAACCAGAATTGGGGCTCTAAGTGTCTGATGATAGAGACAGGTGGAGGTCAGGTCTCCACCTAACATTGGTCACTTTAGAACCACATATTTTCCATGTGTACATCAATGTCCAGAACTCCCCTGTGAGAACAGACACAGCAAGAGATACTTGATCAGGATACCTGCATTCCTTAGAATATGACTGAAAATCTCTCTACAGGAAATACTCACATGCCTAAGTCCAATTTTTACTCCCACCTGGATTGTGTGTGTGTGTGTGTGTGTGTGTGTGTGTGTGTGTGTGTGTGTAGTTGTGTGTGGTGGATGGTTTGGTGTGTCTGTTTATAAGGATGATGACCATAGCAAAAGGTCCATCATCTTCCTCCATGGCTCTTGACACTATTTCCTTGAGACACAGTCTCTTATTGAACTTGAACTTCTTCATTGTGGCTAGATTGTCTGGGCAGCCAGGTCTGAGCAACCACTGTCTCTTCAACAATAATTGGGTTACTGGCATGCTCAGCCATGTCTAGCTCTTTATGTTAGGTCTTATGACACAGAGTCAGGCCTTCATGCTTGCAGAGCAGAAACTCTTAACCACTGAGATTTCCTAAGCCTTGTTCAAGCTTCTCCTAACATTTTAAACTATCTGAAGAAAGGAGAGAACAATGGAATATTTTTCTCTACTTAGCACTGGCCATGAAACCTTCCTTCACTAATTTGTCTAACATTTCTCATTTGATATCATGATAAATGTGGATTTCAGTACCTCAGATCTGTCTAGGTACAACAGTTGTTGAGTATAACTCTGTCTTCCACAGTCTGGTTGTCAGACCAGGACCTAATACCATGACTATAGCACATTGTCTCCAAGTATTTCTCAATGTCCCCATGGGAAATGATTCCAAGCAGATCCATCCTTAGAAAAGGACAAGGGAAAAGACTGAGTGAGAAAGGAAGGGAGGAGTTAGGTCTAAGTGAGTTTCAGGAATGTTCTGAAGAGGACTGAAGACACAGCAAGAGCTTACAAAACCCTCTCTCAAAGACCCCAGGCATCTCAAAAAGACCACAATTTGGGGTTTTAGTGCATGAGAGCAACATATAGTGACCAATTTTTTACTAACTACCAAAAGCTGTGTCTGTCTCTCACAATCTCAGGTAGGTTGAGACTCACCCATGAGCATTGTCATCATGTAATTTAGGCCTCTTTTCCTTTCAGCATGGGCAGCAATAGCGAAGTCTTTCCCACCCACAAACTTGATAAAGATGGTGTAGCGTGACCCTGTAGAGAAACATACATTATATGGCCAAGGACTGACAGCATCAAAAAGGAAGAATATGAACTCAAACACTCACAGATTATGAAGTAACCAGGATGACCTTTAACTTCATCCAGATGTGTCTTGAACTCAATACACCCAATAGGTTTTCTGTAACACAGGATAAAACCATGGGTTTTCCCCTGTTGCCATCTTGAAACTATATAATGAGTTGATTACAGACACTCCTTCTGATATATATAGCATCTAGAAAAACTAACAGCACATGGTTTTCCACAATCTCTGTGTCACCTCCTTTTGCTTTCTACTTCATGGCAGATGGGAAGACCAGAGAGATGATATATATCTGTGGATTGCCCATCCTCCCAGTTCCCCAGGCCAGGCCATTTTCCCCAAGAGTCATGTCCTGTCCTGATTCTCCTACAGTGTCTCCAATGGTATTCCCAGAAGAACAAGTTCTGGACTTCCACTTCCTAACCCTGTTCCCTCTCTATTCATCAAACTAAATGGAAATCTTGAGGTGCTTAAAGATCTGTGCCTGCACAGAAATAAGCACAGAATCTACACTGGCTTTATGTTGCAAAGAGGGACTAGAAATGGAAGCTTTAGTCCTCTTGGGAGTGCCACAGGAGAATAGCATGTGATGTACTGGGTCATCTGTTTTTGTCTGGTGTCCCATGAACATATCTCCTTCGTTTACATAAGTCACCTGACACATTACCCAGACAAGATAAGAGGATTCACATCAAGTACCCAGCTGATGTCAGGAGCATGTAGGTGGTTAGAACAGTGAGTCCATGGATACTAGTGAAGAGAGGGCTATCTGAGAGCAGATACTCACAAGATGTTCATCCTAAACTCCAACTTGCCAATAATGTTCTTGACAAGCGTGAAGGGCGGCAGTGGGCTGACCTTCTTCTTTTCAGGGATAGGAATGTTTCCTGCCCAGCGAATTATGTTCCACTTTCCTAGAAGCTACAGAGAAAATTCACCCTTGGTGGAGGAGCATGGAAAGGGAAATCCAAGCAAAAGTGTTCAAGGAAGTAATTGAAATAGAAAGAGGTGGAGGAGGGGACTGGGGTAAGTTCCCTGTACTGTTTGAAGGGAAATGATATATTGAAGCATCAAGAAGATTCCTGGTCATGGTTGTTAGCCCCTCTCTGTCAAGAGTGGCCATATCTGGGCAGGATAGTATAAGGGGAGATATCATTTCTGGGACAGGTTGATTCCAGTGTTCCCACAGAAACATAAGAGAAAATCAACAAGAACACCAGTCTAAGAGAGCTGGCCAATCCCTTTATTTTAAGATTAAAAGACTGTTGAGCTAGGGGAGCTGTAGTAGTCATATGGGGACAGAGTATCCAGACACCAGCTTCATCCATGGGGCATAATTGCCTCCAGGTGAACTGAATTACCAGGAAGACTCCATCAAAGACCACAGAAGACACACAAGGCATGTTTATCCATCAGTGCCAGGGCCTGGGAAGAAGGCTGATTATCTCCATTGTCTCTCTTCTCAAAACACAGTCAATTTAAACATCAAATCATCTTAGGAAGTCCATCCCTCCAGAACTCCCCATGCCCAGCAGTGCTCAGCCCTCTGCAAACAGCAGCCCTGCTTTGTATACATTGCCCTGCATGAGTCTTTCATTAAGAAATATAAACTGGACAGATTCATTTCTGTGGAATTAATAGGTTATTGGAAGACCAGAGGCTTAAAGAGGAGGCAGTGGGTGTCTGTAGCAGATGATGAGAATGGGGCATCCTTAAACCATCGACCTCTGGGTGCCCTTGATGTTAGAGATCAAGAAAAGCCATTCTGGAGGACAGACACTGAGATTAAAAAAAAAAAAAAAAAAAAAAAAAAAAAAACAAAACAAAACAACAACAAAGTAGCATCTCAGAGATGTTCATCTGCAGCTCTCATCAGCAGCCCTGAGACTCTCAGCCAGTCTGTGGGTACCCAGTTCATACACTCAGTATCCCCAGCACTCTCACCTCATTAGCAGTGGCGGGGGAACTATGATTCCTGAAGGATGATTGCTCCACAGAGGACAGGGTCAGAACCATAGTCAGCAGGATCGGCTGTATGGTCACCATGTTGTGTCTGTGCTCCTGGTCTCCCTTCACCTTGTATACCCTGCACTGGGTGACACCCCATCTGCACAAAGCTCCCATCCATGCAATAGACTGGTATCACTGTTTTGTCTGGAACTCATGAATACATGGTGCTAATTTCCGCAATTAACCACCAGCCCGTGCTTTCACTCATTCTCAGAAAGCCTTGTTAGGAAAGAGAATGTTATCAGAGTGGGAAGTGACCCCTAAGAACACAGAGCCAGGAGGATAACAAGGGCTCCTGTGTTCTCAATCTCTCTATGCCTGGATGGATTTCCCAATAAAAAGATGCCACAACACTTTCTTTTTCCGCTCAGAACCTCCAGTTTTTAAAGAAGCCTGTCTCCACACAGAAGTGCTGAACACAGGAATGTGTGTCCCAGCCACAGCCCAATAAGAACTGAGCTATAGTGTCACACTTCAGTACACTTTCCATCCTTATGACAGCTCTGCAAACCTCCATGGCTCTCCACACCCTCACAGCTGATCTCTACCAAGCTAGTAGCGAGGCCCTATGATGCACCTAATTTCCAACCCAACCATTCATCAAGCAGTTGCCTTCATTCTTTCCACGCTCTAAGTTTGGGAGTTGGGTCTATGACCAAAGTCCCCTGGGGGTCCCTATTTCCCACTTCTATTCTATTTTCTGTCACACCACAGTGGAAATACATAGTCCTACTCCTTGGTATGTATGTATGTAGCTTTCTGTGCCTGTATGCACTGAATGCCCATGTGGATAGCTGTGGAATAGCACTGGATAGCTGTGGGAGATTGCAGATGAGTTTATGTGTTAAAGTGTGTAAATGTCTAAAGTAGGTTCTTTGAATATGGACTTCAATATCCCCTGTACAAATGTACAAATCTGAAACATACTCTAGAATAATTTATATTTTAAATTTGAAATTATTTGACCAAATAAGCAGTGGACAAGATAAGATGAATAAGAAGTGTTTAACTTTTATATTATTTTCTTAGGTTTTTTTTGCATTTTTATAATTTTTATTTAATTTTTTCTTATTTTACATATTGATCCCAGTTCCCTTTACCTCCCGTCCTCCCATGCCCGCCACAGACCCCCTCCTATTTCATCCCCCATCTACGAGTAGGTTTTCCTGCCAGTCTTGTCCCACCACCACACCAGCCCCCAATAATACACTGAGACTCTGTATTAGATATAAAGCTGTAGGCCAGTTACTTGTTTCTTATCGGCTATCTCTGTCTTAATTATTAACCCATTTCTAGTAATCTAAGTATTTCCACGTGGTCTTATCTTACCAGAGAGAGAGGCTGGCATTCTTTACTCTATCCTCCATCTTGGTTCTCCTCCCTGCTACTTCCTCTCTCCTCCTAGTCTCCTAGTTCTGCCTATCTTGCTTTCCTATTGGCCAACAGTGCTTTATTCATTAACCAATAAGAGAAACATATTTACAGAATGACATCTCCCATCATCTTCTCTTTTCTGTCTAAAATAAAAAGAAGGGTTTTAAACTTACCATAGCAAAATGTATAACAAAACAGTTACCAAATAAGAATCACAGTTAACAATATTTAGTCCATTAACATTTAGCAAGATTTAAAGAAAATATTTTATCATCTATCCTAGCTTTGTGAGTCTGAAGTCCTATATGTAACTTATCTTTAATCCTAAATAAGGAAAACTACAACCATAACTATCTGTCTTCAACTCCTTCAAAGACCACAGAAGGATAATATATAAACTCTAGAAATGAATGACAGAGATAACTTGCTGCCTGGTCAGTCACCTGAAGTTTTTCTGTATTCCATCTTCAGCCCATAGGCCATAGTGTGTCTAGCAGACTACTCAGCAAAACAGGAAACTTTAAACTGTCCATCTGTATTGGCAGTTTGTCAGTCACTTTTCTCTGTGTCCTGCAGACTGTCTGGCAGACTCTTCTATGAAGCAGGAACCCTGTAGCAATGTCCATCTTGTATCAGCAGTCACTTTCCTGTGGGTCCTGCATGTCCAGTTTATACAGCATAAAGTCAAACAGTCCAGACAAGAACAGTATCTTGCCCAAATGGCTATTCTTGCCATATTGAAAGCAAATTCCATAACGTGTTTCTTCAAGGTCCATATTCCTTTCTGATGCAGGTGGTGTTGCCAGGAGCAATTGTGCCTCACTGTTAAGAAAAAACCCTAAACCATTTTAAATGCCATATTCTGTATGTCTTTGAAAGGTTTGAAGAATGCCTATCTAATTGAAATACTCTATATATCTAGAAAACCTAACTAACAGTATAAGTTTTGACTATTATAGATTAACCAATAAGAGAAACATATTTACAAAATTACATCTCCCATCAACTAATCATGAGGAATAGTGTTCTAAAAGCCAAAAAGGAGTCAGAGACAGCTACTGTTTCCCATGGTTAGGAATCCCAGAAGAAGACCAAGTTACACAACTGTAATAAATGTGCAGACGGTCTAGGTCAATCCCATGTAGGCTCCCTGGTTGTCTAGTCTCTGATTCCATAAGAGCCCAAGCTACTTGATTATGTGGGTTTTCTTGTGGCATCATTAAACCCTCTAGTTCCTATAGGCCTTCCTCCCACTTTTCTACAGGATTCCCCAAGCTCTGCCTAATGTTTGACTGTGGATCTCAGAATCTAGTTCCATCAGTTGCTAGATGAAACCTCTCTGATGACAATTGTGCTAGTCACAGATGTATAAGTAGAGCACAATATCATCAGGTATCACTTCATTGACAATTTTATTTTTTCCCCATGTTTGGTCCTCTCCTCGATCTCTAGGCCATCAAGTCTATGTCTGGGGATATATTATTTATGATTTATTAAATCTTGCCTGAGGATTCAGAAAGCAAAGTCAGCCTAAAACTATAGAGATCAGGCAGTGGTGGTACACACCTTTAATCTCAGGACACAGGATCAAGAGGTAGATGGAACTCTGTTAGTTTAAGGCCACCATGGCCTACAAAAGAAAGAGGAGTAACAGAGTTCATGCCTTTGATCCCAGCACCTGGGATCACATGCCTTTAACCCCAGCATTACAGAGGTACATAAGACAGGAGCAAGGTCTCAGAGCTGACATTCATTGAGGATAGGAAGACATTGAAGTCTCAGGATTCTCCATCCATGCTGAGGAGAGGGCAGCAGTGTGAGGTTTGGTGGAGCCAGGATTGCCTTTTAATCTAAGGTAGAATGAGAGCTAGTACCCAGCTACTTTGCTGTTCTGATCTTCAGGTTGAAGTCTGAACCCCAAAAGTCAGTCTCTGGGTCTTTTAGAATTCACACTACAGGTCTTGGTGCTGGAGGCAGCGCCACACCTGGGCTTATTTGTGTGGCCTGGGTCTCAGGCTGGGCCAGTCATTGTGGGATGGACACTCCCACAATCTTTGCACCACCCCCCCTTACCTCAGCACATCCCATAGGCAGGACAGACTGTAGGTCAAAGGTTATGTGTCTGGGTTGGAGTTCCAATCTCCCTACTGGTAGTCTTGCCTGGTCACAGGAGACAACAGTTCAGGCTATGTATCCACTATTGTTAGGAATGTTTGCTAGCATCATGATTGTAGATCCCTAGAACTTTCCCTTGCACTAGATTTTAACCCCACATTAAATGCCCCCCTTTCCAGTCATCTCAGAATTCTCCTTCTGCTTTCCACACCATATGACCCCTCATTTTTCCCTCCCCACCTACTCCCAGTTCACCTACAAAATCTATCCTACTTCTCCTTCCCAGGGAGATCAAAGCATACCCTCTCCTTGAGCCTTTCTTGCTAGCTGTGGGGAGCTGTCTTTGGGGGGGCTGTAATTGGAACCAGCCAAGCAGCCCTGGGTCCATACCTGAGTAGGGGAGTGTGGATGAGGGAAAGAAGTTCATACCTGTCTTGTGGTGGGGCTGTGGATGAGAGAAAGGCTAGCTATAGATGATAAAGAAAAGACAGAGACACAGAATGAAAGTCAGGAGAGAGGATCAATCAATACTTAAATGCCATGAGTTTATTTTTCACCAGTCTTATATATCTTATCCAAAAAGGGGAACACAGCATCATGTATACAAAACAAACAGACTTTTCTTCCTTACTTAATCTAAGGGTTCAGTTACCACACCTTAGCTCCAACTTCTTGTTCCCTAGCCTTGAGGTCAGGAGTAGCCACCTTTCAGATTCAACTTCTCCTTCCCTAGCCTTGAGAGTCAGGAGTAGTCACACCTCAGAGTCAGGTCTGTTGTTGTTTAGACTAAGACAGCCAAACATCCTTCTATAGCTACACCTTTGACCTTTAGGTCTTTTGACTGACTTGCTGAGGACACTTTTGAACTCTCTGTTCTTGTGCCAAAATGGAGTGCAGCCATTTTCATGGGTACCCACAGCTAGCTAGAATCTCTGTAGCAGTTATCCTTTACTTCGCATCTAATGTCCACTTATAAGAGAGTACATATCATAGTTGTCTTTCTGGGTCTAGGTCACCGCACTCAGGATGACTTTTTCTAGTTCTATCCATTTACCTTCAAATTGAATGATGTCATTGTTTTATTTTTATTTGTTAAATTTAATTCATCTTTTATTTTGGGGGAGTTTCATATGTACCCCAATTCTGCTCACCTTCCAGGCTCCTTATATCCTCATCTCACCCCTGCAGCACCCACATCAAAAGGAAACAAAATAAAACAAGCAGCAAGCAAACAAGCAACCATAAGCAAGAACAAAATTGACCAAAAACCCCACTACCCTTCTATTTCTTTCTAGCCTCTCCAATACGTCTTCATTTTTCTGGGTGGTTGGGGTCCTTGGTGTGTCCACTTTAGTCCTATCAGCTTTATAAGCAAATATTCATTGCAATGAGTCATTGCTCTGGTTAAAGGCCTTTGCTTTCTGGTATACCACCATCAGGGAATCCTCACCAAAACTCGTCTTTCACACCCTATTGGTAACCTACCCTAGTCTTGGAGATCCTGCAGGTATTATTCCACAGGACCAGTCCCTTTACAAGTTTCAGCA